GGGGCAGGGGGGAGGTATTATTTGTATTTTCTTCTTATTAGTGTAAACTGAGTGCTAAAGGCCTGTCTTGTGCTGGGTGCCAAACACACCCTGTACAAGTGGAGCATCTTGCCATACTTTCCAGCCTGAACAGTGGAGAAGTCACCTGTGTTTGTAAGGGAGCAAAAGAAGCAGTAAGATGTCTCTAGGCATTATGAGGGACTATGGTTTTGGAGTGCAGCCAGGTATCACACTTGAAAAGAGACCAGAAAAGACTGCTGATACAGAGGTATGTTATGGGAGTTTCCATAAATCAAAACTTCAATTCCCACTGTTGTTAGTGCTATGGCAACTGCACAAATGATTCTGTATCCATCACCTTTCTCCTTTGTGTTATGAAAACTGGTGCCTTAGACAGAGCTTTCAGATTAAAAGATTAGGTTTAAAGTTTTTGCATGGAACAAATTTTATTTGTTAGATTCCACATTTTAGAAACCGAAACTTCTTGCACTCAGTGGACTTTTGCTGAGTGTCCAGAGTCCTGAGATAACCCCATCTTCCTCTCCACAGATGTCTGCCCACAGCCATCCCCTGGGAGACTGGCCAGGGAGTCAGGGAGTCTGGGAAGCCCCAGCCTTCAGTAACACTGATACCTGGTTTTACTGTTGGTATTAGGACAGAGGCAGCTTAGCTGAGCTGTTCCAGCGTCTGAGTAGCTTCCTGCTGACTGGAGGACTGCGAAGAATAAAGAGATTTCATCTAATTCAAACTGAAACCCAATTCTGAAAAATACCAAGTTTCCTGTTAGCAGGAAACCCCCTTTTCTGGCTGTCCTCCGTTCTAACCTGGCTGACTTGATCCTCTCATCTGAACTTACAATGCTTGTGCTTCTAGACTTCTGTATTTTCAGTACAAAGAAAGAGATATATAAAGACAGTTGATTATAATGATTGATGTTAATGGGAAGTGCAGAAGGGAATTACCTACATTTAAATTACTGATCTGTGTCCTAACACTGTTTCTCTCTTAAATCACTGGGAAAATCAGACTAGATTTTAATAGATGGTATTATATGCAGTTCCAGAAACAAATCATCTGAATACTGTAGTTGGAAGGGAATTTACTCTTTCAGAGACTAGACAGGCTTTTAAGTCAACAAAATGTATGTGGCAATTTCATAGATTTATACAATGTGTAGACCAGAAGCAAAGGTTAGGTCTTTCACTCTCACACCACATGTAACACAGGCAATACATTTTCACCTGGTTTCCTGTCTTAAGCCTCTTCTTATATGTCAGCAGATTCTACCACATTATTAGGTAGCTCTTCAGGTCTGTTTTATCTCTCACTGAACTTTCAGGTCTTCTTGTTTATTATGCACTGTGCATGTTTCAAATGTCATCAGTACAGAGAATGCAGCATATTATTAGATAGTGCAAGTTTCAAGGAAATAACTCACTCATTTCCTCCCAGCATAGTAACAAGGGTATTAAAGGAGTTTCTCTTCCACTCCTGAACTTCAGACTGGCTGTCAGCTGTTGTATTGTGCTTAGTTTGGTTTAAAAAAGTAATTAATTTTTTGTAACTGTAGCTTGAAATTCTGTTCTGTTGGGCCAATTAAATGAGTAATGAAGTGGTGTCTTTAGTATACTTCCCCATTAACATTTAGCGTATGTAAATTTGAGTACAAAATAGGTAAATTGGGATCAATATGTTATGTCACTTTAAATTTCCTAGATGTTACTAATTCTCACTCAACTGGATTTTTGTGCCTTAAGTTCCAGGATCATCACATGGGAAAATCCAGAGGAGAGTTTTCCCCAAGTACCCTCCCTGCACCATGCAGAAGACCCCAGACAGTGTTTTATCCAGGTACACTTCTTAAGACCACTGTCTACTGTGGCCAGCGTTAATGGCTTTGGTCATAAAATGCCTCTTGGCTCCTTCAAGATGCTCGGCAGGACAGATAGCAGACCTTGGCTCTACTTGATGCTGCACCACCCATTCTTACAGCAAGAAGCTCCTGCAAAGTGAAGGTGGTAGCTCCTATGGGAGAGGACAGAGACCTTCCACAGCAGGGCAGGAGTAACTGGAGGAGACGGCAGCAGCTTGCCTCCAGGCCAAAAGGGGGAACTCAGAAGGTGCAGTGCTTGCTAAGTTCAGGACAAGCTGGGAGGAAAAAGTGGGGCTGGTAGCACCAGATATCAGTGTCCACTGTGCTTGTCAGTCACGTTGACTAGATTTTCAGCCAAAGCTGAAAAGAGGTGAGAGGGCGATGATACAAAAGCTCTCATCTCACTTAAAGAGAGAGGAAGGCACCTTTCAATCTTTTATGGCCAAATCAGCCTTTTCATAGTGCTTGTCAAACTTCCCACCCCCAATGTGAACATTGTCAGCTTCCAAGGCAAGGACTATTGAGCTGCACTCACCTTTGGCATCCTCCTAAACACAGTCAGGATTTCTTGGGGTTTCTGAAGAAAGTCGCCATCATGGCCACATAGCAGTATACATGAAGGCCAAAAAATGGCACAGAATGCCAGAGAAAAGATCCAGAATATACATTCTTGTTTAAAGGACAATAGGCTGAATGAAGCAGACAAACATTAAAGGTGCAGAGAGGCATCCCTCAACCCATCTTCTAAAGCAGGGGAAAGATGACACAGAGGAATTTTAGAAATATGTTTTCCTTTAGTAAAGCCTTTCCAGTCATCCAACAGAAAAGGCATTGCTATTTAAGCATATTCTCCTTCAGTCCACTTTTAGATCTGAATGCACAGCATAATTGAACCTCCACAGTGCAAATGGACATGAAAACACTAAGAATGGTTGTGTTTCTGTTTGAAAGAAGATATCAGCCTTCTCCTTAAGTCTGAGGCTACAGCTGCAGGAGCCACAGGCATCAGGTATCCTGGTGGAGGTTGCTAATACCAATGATGATAATATAATCAATAATGATAAATCAACCATGTGCTAAAAAATTATTTCTCATGTGCTGTTTGAAATGAAAATGGTTTGGAGAGTGGCTGTGGACACCTTAAATACTACTTTGCATAGAAGATCTGATGACCCCAAACCGGTTAGTAACCAGTCAGGCTTCACATGGCACCTCAAGGTGAGAGCCACTGTCTGAGTAATAACAGCAAAGTCCTGACAACAGCTCATGGCTGAAGGCAGTAATGGTGTCCGTTCACATCTGAAATATTTCCATTCAATGCCATCCATGACATCCCGATGGCAGTGTGGTTGTTCAAATTCATGTCCTGCAGCCAAGGAAGTCACAGAAGTCACAATGGGAAGAACACCCAGGCACGTGTAGTCTCAAAGTTCCTGCGCTGTGCTGGAGGAGAGGCAGGCACACTGCACAGTACTGAGCTCTTGCAGCGTAAACCAACAAAATATGAGCACGTTAGCACCAAGAGGCAGTAGTCATCAGCTCCAGTAGCTGGCTGGCTAATCAGAAGTAACCCTTTATGTGGAAGAACTTACTAAGTATTTCATTTTGAACCATTCGTGACTCCCCAGAGGGGAGGTCTTGGGAGTGTTTCACATGTTTTTTGCCTTAGGGACTGGATTTATAAACATAGGCAAATAACTGAAAGCACATACATGAGTCATTACTGAGGCGCATTACAATTTTTTTGATTTAACAACACTTTGATTTAGGAAACCCAGAGAGTTATTGTTGATTTTATGCAGTGTAAATGATTCATGTACTTTGTACTTTCCTGGAAACATAAGTTGTCAACATAAAAATCCTAGAAAGCTTTCATTTTACTCTTGTAATTCTGTCTTATTTATAAAGCTTTCCACTGATGTATACATCATCTTATTTGGAAGCTTAAGAACAGAGACAGCATAGTGGAAAAGGTTCTTTAAGTAGAGGCTTCTGAGAGGCAAAAGAGAGTAACAGAAGAATGAATATCAGTCTTTGTTTACTGGAAGCAAATAAAACCCTGGTGACAGTCTCTGCCACTGCTCTGCCACTCCTTGAAGCAAGGAGAATAATTCTTAGCAAAGTACACATTTTTGTTGAAAATGTAAAAGGCAAAATACTGAGTATAGTATATGTCAGTCATTCACCTTCCTCTTTTATAGGATTTTTTTTTCCATACAGCTCTCCTGCCCTTCCCCACCCCTCCAATATCCATTGAGCTTTGAACTCTCATTTTCCCAAGCTGTCGAATTCCTAGCATTTCCCTGGCTACAGTTTCTCTCAGAATTTTGCTGACGTGATAATCAGCACAATATTTCAAAATTTAAAAAAAATACTTCACAATCTTAAATCACTTTTTTTCCCCAGTAATTTTTAATGTCAGTATTTTCAACTTTATCATCATGTGATTGAAAATGAAGGACTCTTGCCCTCAGGATGCTTGTTAGAGTTCCAAACAAAGCTACATGACTATATTTGCCATCAGCTCCTGTGTACTTTGCTAATGGGACTGAGCCGAAGGACTGGGAAGCAGCACACTACCTCCACTAAAATTAATAATCATACTGGATACCAAAATCAGGAAAACAATTTAGATATTGGTTTTGTGTTACACTGTAGCTTCTGAATCATCATTTCTATCTGCTATTCACAATACATTATAATTCTTACTCCCCTATCACCATGTTCCACAATCTTTTAGTATCTCTCATTCTCTTGCCCTCTGGACGTAACCTACTTACTATGTTTCTTTTGCTCCAGCAACCCCTTCACTTTGAGTACTATTTTTTGTATATTGAACAGTATATGTATTATGTATTTAGTTATATCCTTACCAATTTTTCTTCCATTGCATTCAACATTGGAATACGATGTTTGTCTTTCTAGAAGATCCAGTATTCCAGTTACTTCGATAATTACTCTTCTTGTAAATAATGCATATAAACCAAAACATTTTGCAGAGGTGTTCCCTTTAGCAAGGGGCACTTACATTTGAAGGGTCCTCCATCAAGACTCAACAAATATAGATTAATCTCACTGTCATAACCTTTACATATACAAACCAGAGAAAGACAGAAATTAAGAACAATTTAAAGATGCAGCATCTTTTTATTACTTTAACGAGTATAACTGCAAAGATCAGAGTCTGCATAAAAGGACAGAATGTAACAAAGTGAATATAATCTGCAAAGAAAAAGACATGGCAGCAGAAAATATTGAAAAGCAGTCACGATAACTGTTAAGGTTAATGAGAACTACTAATAACATTGTTGTAACTGAAAGTGCTCCACTGCAGTTCAGCAAGTGGAAGCATCTGTGTAAAACAGCTGTAAAATAAATCCAAACATAAAATGTTTCACTAGGTGTTTGATCCTATTTGATTTCTGGAACATATGCTGAAAAATTATAGTATGTATAGATGGAGAAATACCATAAAAATTTGACTACTCTCAGAGTCTGCCTCAGCATATTTAGGAGAAATGATGGCCAACGCTAATTTTTCTTGCAATGGATGTTTCATTAGGGTATTGGCACAATGGTAAAAAACTCTAGGTGTTTTACCTGTGCTTTTTCAATATATTCTTTGGAAATTTTTGCTTTACCTGGCCCTGATATATTTCACGAAAAGATATAGTATATTTTCATGAATGCTGAGAGTACACCAATGATGCTCCCATTCAGGGACAACAAAAGCAGAACATTCTCAGAGATCTTGGAAAGGTTGGGTCATGACGGTTTAAAATCCATTTGACAGAAATGGAAGTTTAATGCTGAACAAGAGATAACAGACAGATCTAGGAGAAATACCAATTCATTATTGGTCATTAATTTATCTGTAGAATAAGAACTTGAACAAAGGTTTTTTTGGAAATTCATGTCCGATCTGCCTGCTGAAAGTCTTAAGACCTTTGTTGTAAAAAAATAGAAAATGGATACGAAAGGCCAGTCTGAACTGAGAGTTTGAAAATCTGAGGGATTAGAGAAAGCAAACACCTATTCCCAGAGTCTCTGATGATACCAAACAAAACTGCCAAAAGATACTTCTAAACAAGGCCATAGGGCAAGACTCTTTCAAAAGTAGGTCAATGACTATAAATATGTGGTTTGTGCTTCTGGCACCTTAAAATGAACAGCAATATGCCCAAACCAGAAAGAGCCTAGCACAGGTATGAAGAGCTTCCTGTTTCTGCCGATGAGATACACATTGGCACAGACCGACTACAAACCATTACTGTCAGTAAGAGGTCAGAAGGCACTTTTTCTAGTTTCAGTTGTATGAGTGCCAAACAGAATACAGACCCAGAAAAGATTTCAGGAACAGCTGGCATTCTGTCTGCAGTTTTTGCAAGAACTGGGGGAGAAAAAAGAAGACAGACAGATCCTGACATTTTAAAAGTAACTGTGGTGAGATTCTCAAATAGAAAATGTTTTATATCGTGGGGTCAAATGCTCAAAATTTTTGAGAAGTGTGCTAATGTTGTGTAATGACTATTTCAAGGTGAAGCATACTTCGTATTTGTACATGGCTAGGTAAGTATATTTGGCACTTTTCATCAGTTCTTTTCCCTAGTGGTTACCTTCCTTTTATGTGCAGGAGCTTTACCACTATACTTCTTAAGTTCAGAGGGACTTAGCCTGGTGAGATTGACCCTTACATCTTTAACAATACCAAATTTCTTTCTTAGTTCGTCTTTATCCTGAGGTGCTTCTTCCTCATTTCTTTTTTCCAAGCTTTCTTTGGATGGAGATACGGTCTTGTTGAGGAACTGAAACAGGAAAGAATAGAACTTGACTGTTAGGAAGTGAGTGCTGGATAGTAATTTTTCTCCCACCCCAGTTTATCTTCACAGCTTTTCTTCTGCAGTCTTTCTTACCTTGGGGATGTGGCTTTGCCAGAGGAATTTAATTCAGGAAGGACCTTGTAAGCCAGCCCTTCTCTATTCTTCTACTGCTACTTTAAAAAGTGATCATGATGGCACTCATCACCTGTTTTCAGAAACCCCACCTTCTCCCTTGGGAAATATCTTGCCATTATACTAAATTCTGCTCTAGTGTTCTCTAAATAGCAACAGGCTGCTCCCATTAAGTGCAGTGCTTTTGTCCTGTTCAAATACTAGAAAAATCTTGATATATCTCAAGATTTATTTTTTTCTTCAGCATTATTTTATTTTCTTTTTAAACAGTAAAGTCTTATAGACCTGCAAGCCTTAATTCAGATTACTCTACAGTGATTTTGTCCACTGGATTTGTGTTTGGCTTCCCCACAAAAATGTGAACAAAACCAGGTCACTCATCTTTCACAGCGATATTCTGAAAAATGCACTTTGCATTCAGCTATATCTAAGAGGAAAGTAACTTACTGTACATACACAATCACTTGATCATCATGGGTTACTACCTGCTGCATTTTCGCAGTAGAAGGGGAGCAGTTCTTGGGCTGAGAGATGGTAGTCATCTCGTGTGAAGAGGAATGTGTTTCATTTGATGTTTTGTCTTGGTGTGTGGGGGTAGCACAGGTTGTAAGACATTTTATGTTCTGTTTCACAGCATTCTCTCTTGGCAGCAGTGGATGTGGAACTTTGAAAGGTAGGTTATGGATAGAACCACATGTAATGAGCCAAACCATGGTCTTCACAAGCAACATAGGATGACGGCAAACCATTTCCCTTTCTGCTGTCAGATCCTCATGCCTCATTACATATAGAAGATAGACTTGCCTATTATAGATCATTAGAGCATTTCCATTAAAGAAAGGAATTTCCACTTGCTCTCCAATAGGACTGATAGATGAAAGTGGTAACATATCCTTATAATCCTTATTCTTCATAGTGATGAGTGACTTCAAAATTTCTGAAACACCAGTGTTAGATGATTTTACAATAAGAGGATAGGATCTTGCTGTCTTTCTGGCTGGCTCTTGTTTCTCTGGGGCTATCTGGGAACATTTCACATCTTCAGTTATATCAGGACTAGAACAGTGTCTTGGAAAGTTTTGGCTGCTTGGTATTAAAGACTTTGAAAAATCGTTCCAAAAGGAGCTGGAAGCCTCTTCTAACTTTATTAATGGCCATATATAAATTACAGATTCTGTTCCTGTAGCTTGCCCTACTTCAGAGACATTTTTTGCTGCAGCTGACAGTAGTTGCTGTAGTTTAGATGGGAAAGAAGATAGTGGTATTGATGCGATTTTGGCTTGATATGGTATCTCTAAATCAGGTTTTAAATTCCACGCCTGAGGTTCTTCAGTAACTTTAAGAGGATCAGAGATTCCAGAAATGGATGTTTTGCCTTCTTGGTCAGCCTGAGTTAGTGAGAAGCCTCTTTGCAGAGAGTGCTTTTCAGCTGAGGTTTCAATACTCTGAGCATTAAAATCTGTTGATAACTTTCCTCTGCCAGCAGAGGTCATGCCAGTATTTTCTAGTATGTCGAAATCTTCTCTCTTCAATTGCTGATTCTCTAGCACAAGAACATATGTAGGACTGGTATCCATCTCCATAAAAAGCGCTATAGTTTGACTTAATGTATTCTGTTTAGACAGATGAGCTTCTGTGACTGGGCAGTTGTGTACAATGACAGCTTCCAGAGGAAAGGGAATGAAAAAAGAGTTCCAGTAGGTCTCATTTATTTTTACCTATTTCCTGAAGGGCTTCACTTACGCAGCCTGACATCCTTAAAATAAAAGTGGATATAAATTAAAATGTGATTACATATTTGTAAATGCACAGTGATTTTTTTTCAGTTAACTCAAAATAAATTAATAAACAGAAATATATCTGTGATTTAAGTATTACCTAAAGCTCATCTAGCCAGTAGGATTCTTCTGTAATAGTAATTTGTTGTGAGATACTTCCAATCTTGACATAAATTGGCAATGAGTTTGTTACACCCTGAGCTCACTTGGCAAGTTTTTAAAGGGGCTTAGGCACTTTGATTCCTTTGGCGGTGCACAGGAGAAAAGAACAAACTTCTCAGGAGGTTGAATAGTAAACTTTTATTGGAAAACTTTAGAGAATAAGGTACTTGGCGAATTTTAAAGCAAACATCCAATCAAAGTAAGGCACTTCAGAAAGCACTGACTTAGTCTGACTTTAAGATACCCAGATTTCGAGAACAGGACGTCAGGAGAAGAAAGAGAGAAAAAGAGTGAAAAAGGAGAGAGAAAGATCAGTAGTCACCACCCTGGATCCAGCAAGGTCTCAGGAGCTGTAAGGTCCAGGGCAGTGGGGCCTGTCAGCGTCACCTCTGTGTCACGGCCTTTTATCTGCTCTAGTCTCCCAGGGCCCTCTCCCCAGGTAGGGCTTTCATTGTGCCAATAGCTTGGTAGCCATGTTGGAGCTGGACCAGAGGCTCCAGTGGTAGGGTGTGGAGCAGTGTACAGCCCCACCCCAGCAGAACTTGCATTCCTACCCCCCCCATACACACTTCAGTTGCTTTGAGCCAGTAATTATTTCTCTGGTCTCCTAGAGAGTTTCTGCTTGCTTCCATAGGAATTTACCCAATAGTGCAAGCTGTTGGTGGACGGCATCTATTTTGTTCAGAAGCAGTATTCCCTCATGTAAGAAGATACAATGCCACTAAAATCAATGCACGTTTTTAATAAAAATGGTCTTACCAAAGAACTTTACAGTCAGTTTTGTACTTCGCTTGGAGAATGATTTGACTTCAGCAATCAATCTTAACTTAACACTACTCTCAGCTGTAGCAGAATCAGATCCAGTAGCTTCATCATGGCTTCTAATAAAGATGTAAAAAAAAAAAAGAAGAATCAAGTTCAGATGCTTATCTGATACCTATTAAAACCTTCTAAGCACCAGTGTAATTGTAAAATGCTAAACAACCATAAGTACATAGTTGAATTTACAGTAGAAGAAAACATGAAATTTAAATTTGTATCATGAGAGAAAGGCAAAAACGCTGAGATGGATTAAAAACAAATTAACTTTGAATTAACTGCTGCTTCTCCAATGGTTATGTTCTTCTAGGAATAACCTACTTAGCACTGCAGACTTGATTTTGTAGAAAGAAAACATAAACACTCACATTACTTGCATGTCAATCACACAACTCGAAGGTGTTTTTTAGTCTTCCTAAATATTAAAAACCACAGTGAGTTTCGCCTCCATAACTGAGGAAGTTCAACTACTTAACAAAAGAAATGTAATAAAGACAAGTTCAGTGAATGTCTGCTGAGGATCATGAAAATTAACCTTTCCAAGTCCTTTTACCTAGTAAAAATCAATAAACTGAAAAATAAAATCACATTTCCTCCTCATCTAGGCTGTACCTCCTGCATTTATGATGCATACATCTAGGTGTATTCACGTAATTCCAGGACGCTAATCATGAATATTTAGAAATAATTATATCGATTGTCAACAAGTTATTTGAATCACTGATTGTACACACAGTAGTATTGAGGCCTTCTGTAGAAGCAGACTGTAAATCAAATGATTTCCTTTGCTTTATCTGATGAGTAGGGGGTTTCTGTTTTGTTTTGGTTTTACTTCTGGTCTTAGGGATTTTTACTACATCCAGCATTGCCATATGATAAAGCTAGGACTGGTCTTCTGCCCCAGAAAGTCTCTTACTGGCCTCTGCATTAGCCTTCGCACTCTTTTCATTAGTATTAGTCCATTAAATCTTCTGCTGTCCAAGTGAAGGAATAGTTTCTCTGGAGTGATAGCAGAGTAATAAGGCATTTACTATAATCCTTTAAGCAATGGGGGAGTTGCCACAAAACCCCTAAACAAAAATTTAAAAAGAATTTCAGTAACATGAATTGTTGACACATATCTTAAAAAACAGAAACCCAGAGACATAGCAAGTAAACTGAAATTTAAAAAATAAATAAATAAAAAAAAAGATTCAAGTTTTGAGACTGAGAAATCCTGGTTAACTGTGAAACCAGCTAAAAAAGAGACAAATATAGCTGCAGAAAAGAAAGACTCTTTGATTCTCAGAAGCTGTAACTCTACTGTGAAGGCTCTGAATTGATTGATGTAGTGATGGGGCTCATTGCCATAGTCTCCAGTTTTGCTCCCTAAAATCCTATGTGCCATTTAAAGACTTCTAGCCAGCTGTCATTGTCAAACAATTCCCACAGAAAGCACAAAAACGCAAACAAAATCTGTTTTGACAAAGAGACCAGCAAAAAAACCTGAACTATTACAGTTCTGGTGTAGGCAAGTTTCCTGAGTTCACAGTCTTTCAAGGTGGCTCACAGAGGGGCAAACTGTTTCATTCTTCTTTGCAGGTGACTAAAAGCCTTGTGAGTATCAGTTAAAGCAGATTAGTTTCTCCTGCCAGCAGACACAGAGAAGCACACTTTGTGCCACTACCACTCAACAGTGCAGAGGATATATTTTTTGCTATGTTCATCATAGAGGTGCCAAGACCCCTTCAAGGACTGCGACTAAGAGAGCATGGAATGTAACCTATAGCTCTGACAAAATGTCACTGTACTGATGGTGCTGAACTTGTGGCTTGTGAGCTTGGTATGAGTCACTGTATCAATTATCATGGAATCATAGAATGGTTTGGGTTGGGAGGGACCTTAAAGATCATGCAGTTCCAATCGCCCTGCTGTGGGCAGGGACAGCTTCCACTAGACCAGGTTGCTCATAAGCCCCCATCCAACCCGGTCCTGAACACTTCCAGGGATAGGGCATTCACAACTTCTTTGGGCAATCTGTTCCAATGTCTAACTACTATCACAGTAAAGAGTTTCTTCCCAATATCTAATCTAAACCTGCCTTCTGTTAGTTTAAAGTCATTCCCCCTTGTCCTGTCGCTACATGCCCTTGTAAAAAGTCTCTCTCCAGCTCTCTTCTACGTCCCCTTTAGGTACTTGAAGGTGCTGTGAAGTCACACTGGAGCCTTCTCTTCTCCAGGCTGAAGAACCCCAGCTCTCTCAGCCTGTCTCCGTACGAGAGCTGCTCCAGCCCTCTAATCATCCTTGTGTCCCTAAAGTTATTTTGGCCTATAACCTGCTCCTGATACCTTTCTTCATTCCTGAGAACCATGAAGACAGCCTCTGTTAGTGTCAGCAGGCTCCTATCCACCATCTTCCTAGGGCAATTCGGGAGCACTTCAGGACACGTGTGTACTTTTTGCAGTACATATTGCATGTGAATTAAACCTGCTAGTCCTAGGACTCTGATCCTGGCATGCCTGCATGCAACAATTTTTCGGTCATCTCAGGCACGTTCATCTCCTCCTCTGTCTTTGGAAAACATTCTATTTCTAGTTTGGCCAGAAAGTCTGTGCATCAGTTTTCTACGCTGTCCCTCAGAATCAAAAAAGCAAAAGCTTAGGTGCTTGACTGTAGTGAATTTAAGACAACTCTAACAATCCCACACAAGACAGAGGACTGTCTTAATGCAAGTATTACAAAAATTATGAATATCTTCAGTCCTAACTCTTAGTTATGCACAGCAACCAGCAGACTGAGCTTATCTATCACCACTGGAAGAACCAAAGAGTCTCAATTCCAGCATTTTATTGATGGTAAATAGCAGCGAGTCACACTGATTATAAATGTAGTGTACTGTACCTTACAGTGCACATCTTAATATATAGCAGTAACTTCAGTTGAGTAATTTTGTCGACCCTTGAGGTTAAAAGATAACCACTTGTGTCACAGATCTCAAGGTTCCCAATAGAACTGAAAAAGGAATGACCATATTCACATACCTTAAAATGTCCTTATTTACACACAATGAAAGAAATCTATAAGAAATCCTCCTTTCTTCTTCCACCTTAAAACTCACTGAGTGCAAATTTGTATGTATACAAATCTTTTTCATCCCAAGTAGTCTTACAATCTGCTTTTTAAGACTATGACTCACCATTGCCCTATCTTCACCAGAGACAACAACAGCAAAGAGTCTTAAGAGAACTCACAAAAATAATAAAATTCATATTTAAAATTTCCTTACTTTTGATAAAAATGTGCATATGAAAATTGCAATCATCAATTTGTAGGAATATATTTATTCTAATTAGGTTTTCACTTGTAAAACTTTGGCTTGGCATCTTAGTTTGTTTTTTCTTATAATATAGCAACAATTCAGGGTGATTCCAAAGCTAGCCCTGAGAAAACTTAGATTTCCTGAAATACAGGCATGACTGCTGCTAGCGTGGCATATATTATTTTTGCCTGGATTTGATCCAAGGTATAGACATAGTGCCTTTCAGTTGTTACGTCAGAAGTGTCTTAAAACACAGCATCTGCTCAGTTAAGTACCCTTGTTTCAACACTGGTTCTGCATGGAAACTCAAATGGGTCCATAAATCGTCTAGGACTTCGTGGTGTATGTTAAAAAATACAGGTATGGCACAGGCCACTAGATCTGTTATACGGTTTAACACACATATTCCTTTCCTTTTGCAACAGGTGGCCTGCACTTAGGCTGTCAAAAAATGCTGTGATGTTCAGGGAGAGAGCAGTTCGAAGAGCTTCCTAAAATTACGTACAACATGTGCTAAAGGTCCTTCTAGCCCAGTCCCTGCCTCTGACAGTGGCCAAAAGAGGAGGCCCAGCAATAATTTGAGAACAGGCCATGCACGTAGTGGTAATTTCCTGGATACCCCCAGTCTCCAACAGTGGGAGGCACAGGGCCCTCCTGAGCCAGCAATGATTTCTCAATGGATTTCCTGCTGGCACCAGCCCTGCTGTGTAACATAAACTCCTTCCCCAGCAGCTTCTACCCCGCAGCGGTGCCTGCTGGGTCACTTACAGCCGCAAAAACCTCCTCAGGTCCCTGGTTTGGGGTCAAACCCTGGCATTCCCAGTACAGCTGGTGTGGGCTGGGGGAATGGGAAAAGGAGGTGAGAGTTACCATTACAACCAGAGCGCAGGTGCCAGACTAGAGGAGAAGCCTTCAAGTGCTGCAGCAACTGCTGTGGCAACTACCAAAACTGCTGAGAGCCTTCCAGAACCTTCTAGCCGCTAGAATCTTCCAACAGACACTGGGCACCGGCAGTTTCAACAGCTGCTGCGAGTGACACTGGGTGCTCTTGGCCAAATCGGCTGCTCCCCACAGGCTCCAGGGCTGTGCCCGCATGGCTGCACCTGCCCTGCCAGCCCAGCCAGCTGTGCCCCTGTGCCCACAGCCTCTGAAGGACAGGGCCCTTCACACCATCTCAGCCATGGCACCAACTCTTGCGTTCCCACACCTTTTGGCCCCTTTCACCTCTGCAGGGCTGCAGCTGACAGGTCCCCACTGCTCAGGGGTGGCAGCTCTCCCTGTGACTCACCGGGCTCACACCCCACCTTTCCTGTGGGAAAGGGCCCTGGAGGCCCTCCCTGAGCCCACTGCGCTGCACAGCTTCGCTGCAATTCCCTCATGGCCAGGGCATCCTTCAAATGTCCTCATTCTCCAGCCAGGCCCTCGCTGGGTCCAGAGGGGAGAAATTACCAGGCTCAAACTTCCCTCCTGACCTTTCCTCAGTGCTGTTTCCCCCCCATTGACAGGCAGTGCTCAGGAGTCAGAGGAAAAACAAACCCATCCCACTGTGGCACAGGTGAGCGCTGAGCCCTCCATCCCAGGCACACCTAGGCTGCCCCAGCCTATCCCAGACTCTTTCTGCTGAGGAAAGGCTCAACACACAGGTGCTGCTCAACTGAGTCCCAGCCATTTCTCCTCAGCTGACAGGCCCTGGGCCAGGAGTCACTCCCATGGAAGGGCTACAATGCAGATGGCCAGGCACAGGGGCCTCCCCCAGGCATGGCCATGGGGCAACTCCACAACACACCAAAGGATGTGAGGGAGTATGAGCGTGGCAGAGCACTGGTACAGGCTGCCCAGGGAGGTTGTGGAATCTTCCTCTCTGGAAACATTCAAAACCCACCTGGATGTGTTCCTGTGTAACCTACCCTAGATGACCCTGCTTTAGCAGGGGGGCTGGGCTACATGATCTCCAGAGGTCCCTTCCAACCATAACTACTCTGTGACCAGGGTCTGTTGCTCTGCTGCTCCACCACACTGGGAACAGTGCCAGAAAGCATTTGAATAAGCAGCCAAATTAATCTGAAATACTTAATCAGGTATTCACAGAAGCACAGAATTATTTATGTTAATAGGGTCCTCTTGTGATCATCTTGTCCCACTCTGCTACAGCACAAGAACTTATGCAATGAGTGGTGGCCTGGCAGCAGGATGAGCTTTGAAACAGCCTGCAATTTCAGAAGGGCTGGAAATACACAAGTGACTTTATTGTTGCCATCCTGTTAGTAGCTCCTCTTGGAAAATGGCTCAGAGTAAAGTAATTTTATTTTACTCTAATGAGTGAAATAAAACTAGAGTAATATAAAACAGAGATATAAAGTGGCTGGTGAGATGCATCATGTTGATAACTTTATGTAGCGAATGAGTGTTTTAGGTTGCTTAAAGAATCACAGCAAAGACATCAGCAAAAGCAGGGTTAATATAAAAGTGAAAGCGCAACAAAGTTCACTGGCAAGGTTCACTCTACTACTTACTAGATGGTTAAAGCACACAGAGGAAAAGCAAACTAAAATCTGAAATCAATCAATCTAAAACCAAAATCAACCCAAAAATTATTTACATGGAGGCTGAGGGGAGGGTGGGGAAGTGTAAGGATAGGAAAGGCAGGGTGAGGGGTGGGGGGAAGCATATGGATAGGAAAAAGTAAGGATAGAAAGGAACAAGGGAGACCCTCCCACTGAGTCACAAGGTTCAGAGTGGACTCCCTTGCCAAACTTAGCCCCTGACTTGACCAACAGTTTAGGCCTAAAGGTTCAAGAGCACTTAACAGCACTTAATGAGTAGCCTAATTTAAACAATTTAGCAACACAGTCATATAGAATTTACTATAACGCAACAGTAACTCACTTAAAAACCTTAGTTACAAATCTAATGTACTTAAGAATCTAAGAGAGCAACCTTCATAGTACATTCGCTACAACATATTCACATTCACACGCACACAGACCTAAAGAGTATGTACAAAGTACATACCTGTGAAAAATTCTCCTCAAATTCAGTGAAGGACTCGTGTAGGATGCCTTTGTATCAGCCCAGGCTCTGTGCTTGGCGTTTGATGGCGGTCCTTCCAATATTGCAAACTTGAGAGTCCACTAGGTCTGAGGATAGTCCTACTCAGAGAAAGATTGTTGGTTTCAACCTCCTGTGGTCCAGGAGAGCTCAGAGGATCTCACTAAGGACCACTGTTTATAGAATCACAAGAGAGTTGGCTTTAGTCATAGTAATTTTTCATCCTGGCCACAATTTGGGTCAGTAACTTTCTTTGGAAGTTTGATAACAAAAATGTTGTTCCACTTGGGTTGTTTTTCAGGCAAGAGAAGTTCCCAAGGCTGTTTGTTAAAAATCAGAAGCTCATTAGACAGCTTAAGTTCCTGGGAGTAGACAGTGTTTCTGATAAGCTCAGGAGGGGCTTAGCCCAGGTGCTGTTCATCGAGGCTGAGGCCTCATGAGCATTTTTGAGATCACAGTGCATCCGGAGGAGGAGGAAGAGGAGAGGGAATGCACCACCACATCATAACCACCTGGCACTCCAAGTTTTAAAGTGCTATCACCTTCACTGAATTTTCCCAGCAGGCATTAGGTTAAATTCAACATGAAACATGAATTTCCTGGGATTGTTCATTGTCAGCTGCCTCCTGCTGAGGATTTTTACATTTAGTTAGAGGACATGTTTCATACCTGTTGTGCGAGGTGAAGACCTGCTACCTCTGGCTGCCCATACCTGTAAGGTTGCTGATGTTCAGTATTTGTTCTTTTTTTAGTTTCTAAAGCTGCCTGAGAAATCAAGGCCACTTCCTCCCAGTCAGATAATAAAAAACATAGTCCTTGCCCCAGAGAGCTTATGAAGCAAAAACGTTAGTGAGAGAATAAAGAGGGTTTGTTCCCTGTTCCTGATGACTGAGTTTTGCTGAAATGATATCCTGCTGTGATACACACAGGAGGAGCAAGGAGCATAAAGCACATATGTGGCTCTAGCACATATAAATGCTTTACTGTGGTCAACCCCAGGAGTCACCCTGACCTTCAGCACTGTCTCTGAGTACAACAGGATATTCACCATTAGCCACTTATGTGCTTATCAGCAAATAGAGGTGAGAAAGGCAAGATAGAAAGGAAGGCATGGGCTGAAAGGTGAGGTAAAGAGCAAAGTGAATTGCTGACAATTTTGCTCTTCCTTCTCATCTCTTCTTTGCCACCAAATTTTTTTTTGTGCGAGCTGAGAGATCATGAAAGTAAAGGAGGAGAAACACTCTGGCTGTGATCTGCCCACCTACAGCTTTCAAAGCATTTTAGGGAGGATGAGAGCTGTATTGAAGCCCAGCGCAGGAGAGAAGGATGCAGAGATGTTAACCCTAGCTAGTGACATCTAACTGGCTACCGAGAAGGCTGTGGGTGTGCAGATTATTTACAAGTGTGTGTGCGAGGAATATTATGTGTGTGGGAGGAATATTATGTGGGGAAAAATCATCTGTACCTCTTAAAGAAACAGTCCCTTCACTGTACCAGAATTTCTGTTACCTCTCGGCTGCCGTATATTCCTTTAAGTAAAAACCTAGTACCTTTCTCTAGCATTGCCTCTTCTTACATCCCAAAACACTGAATTTTGTCTTTTGGTGCTACTCAAAGCTCAGTTCAATCTTTCACATATCAGAAATGGAGTCACAGTAGGGAGCTGTATGAGGATTTTTGAGAACTATTGTGTTATAACCTTTGGAAACTTGGTGCAATGAACCCTCTCTCCTTACCCGCAGCACTTGGTACCTATCCCCTTGTAATCATTCATGGCCTTATGTCCTTGCCAAAAAAATTACTTTAAGAAGAAGGGAGAGGAAAGAAATGTCAGAGTTTTCTCTAGTGAATTCCTGTGACTACCTGTCTGGTAAGGAGGCTACAAACTAACAAGTTGTGTTCCTTACCCGCTTACAGCTTGGAGAGGGGAGAGAAGGTTTTGATATCAACCCCGTATGTGCCTTTTCCACATTGATTTGGGAACTTGCTAATCAGTTAGGAAACAGTTCAATGACACAGCATGTCACAGACACTGAGCAGATGTTAGACTTAATCTTGATTTTTTTTTCCCTCAACTATTTTCTCTAAACGCCTAGGGAAAAATTCCAATTTCAGTGGGTTCTGGACCAAGTCCTAGCATATCAAGCACTTGCTAATAATACATTATGTTTATTTATCTGTTTCAGATGCTGATCTGTGACATATAAAAATGCTATACTTCACAGATTTTGAAAAGAGGTGGCCCCCTTCAGCTTGTGATAAATCCTGTTCGGAAGCAATGCATAGCCTCAAAGGAGGAAGCTGAAGAATGGAAAAAGACAAGCATCCCTCCATAGCCTGTACAGCCCAAGAGATTAAGCCATGACCATCTGCAGCACCAGAACAGAGAACACCACACAGACATGTGGGCCTCCAAGGAGCCAGCCAAAGTCTGCACAGGCCCCAGAAAAATACAGTACTCTAGTATTTCATGTGAGCAACTACACCCTGCCAGCGCGCTGCAGAGCACAGTGCGGACACTGGAGTGCGTCAGCTGTGTCGGATGAGAGCTCTGTGGGTGCGAGGTGCCCCGCACAGCTCGGCGGTGTGCCAGCACATCCTCCCGTACCTCTGCTCACAGGATTTTCCCACCACCCTGAGCGCCTGAGCTCCACATTCCAGCTACCCGCTGACAATGTCTGTGTTCTTGGGAAGCTGTAATTCGCGACTCTTGCCAGCATGTGACACAAGAGACGGAGCAGGCTGCCCGCACTGCCGAGACTAAAACCGACCGACTTTTAAAATGTCTGGCCAGTCGCTGCCGAGTCTGTGCTCCGACACCGTCAGCAGTGTATTCCATCAGGAGCAAAGGTTCTCCAGATTTCTTATGACACAGTAGTGATGTTTCTTTACACACACACACACGACATGATTACATATGGATCAGACTGTGACTGGATAATAGAAAGCGCAAGGAAAAAGGTACTGAAATGTCAGCTCTTTTGCAAGCAGCAGAGTGATAGAGGAACTCCTGCTTGTGTCAGTAATTATCAAAAGTCAGAATCTCATGCACAGAAATGGTGCCCTTCCAGCAATTAAACCGGGAACAGTTAGTGACATATTGAATAAGGGCTCTCAAATGTATAAATGCATTGATACAGCTGGGCATGCAAACTAGCAGGGTACTAAGCAAAGCAGATGCTGAAGAAGCTCTATTTAGTGAACCAGAATTAACTTGATCTCATTGTTTTTATGCATCTTCCACAGTTGAACAGATTGATTACACTCAAATATCTTCCTTTTTAAGTGATTCCACTTATTCCAGTTCTTTGCTGATGCCTGTTTCTCATTGATTTTACCTGGCTACAGTCACTAGAGAGCTAGATGCTTCATGGTCACCAGCTCTGTAATAAAGATGAGGGAATTATATCTCACACTGGCAGACCTTTATGGCCCTGAACTACTGCATTATAGGACACTGTTGTGCTTGGGCACAACAGTTCATCATGACTCAGTAGCATACAAGAGCATGGACTGAGATAAGGACTGTTGTTGTAACCTCTGTAACCTTGAATCACAGCACGGCTTTGCTCCATCTGCATGATATGATTTCTAATCTTAGGAACAAAGCCAGCCATGCAGAAGTCCTGAAGACAAAGAGCTGGATCAGCAGGGAATTGGGAAAATGGATGGAAGGGCAGATGAAGATGAACTGAATACTAATGCTAGCAGTTACAACAGTTCTGAGAGGCTGCTGTACCTGCACCCCCAGCTCTCATTATTTAATAGGTCTGGAAATCCCCTGTTTCAATCTGCCATTCTGGATTATTTCTCACCGAACTACAGACAACTGCATTGACATGCCTGTCCTTAAACCTTTTATGTCTCACTGGCACCTGCATTCAGAGATATTTCAGCACTGAATTTACTCTTGCCTTAGTGTCTGTCTCCTAGAAAAGACAAGACCACAGCATATCAGGAGAGATGACAGTTATTATCAGCCTGTTGTATACAGTGCCAGGGCTGACATGAAGATTATTCTGGCCTTGGGGAGCAAAGGGAGGTGAGGTATTTTGAAAAAGAGCTACAAGAATGAAGATAAAAGTCACATAAAGTTTTCCTGTCTCCTTCTGGCTTTGTTCCTCTGTATTTCCACTCAGTTGAAATGTTGTAACTATATGCTAGGCTTGGCAAAACGACAGGAGCAAGAAGAAAGTAAGAATATGCTCAAGGAAAGAGAAGTTCAAAACTCCCCTCTGAACTTGTAGAGCTGAGAGAAAGGCAACTGGCACCAGGGTAATGTTTCCTTGTAACACAATGCCATCTGCTGGGACTTGCTATAGCAGATGAGGCAGTGCAAATGAACTTGGGATAAACAAGTCCAATAAGGCTAGAAAACGCATGCTGCCATGTCAACACAGACTGAATGTGATCACATTTGCAGTTAGCAACAAGGTATGGTTTAACAGAAGCAGTTTTTAGAGATTTTTCATTCCTTACTGCCTAATACATTGTCATGGAGTATGACAGTGTATATACATCCCACAGAATGTTCAGGCTGGCTATTGCTGCTGTAAGCTTTTCCCTCTAGAGTGAAAACCAAACATGTTGTGTCATGACAGAAAAATTGATACTTGCTGGGTTCACTGCTGTGTCACTTCTAAGTAATGTTGAGCAGTGCATTTGTCATTCATACAGTGGACAGACAGTGATAGGATAGATCTGTTCATGAAAGTTATGTTCTGACTAGCAAGTAGGATTTCCTACTCACTGTGATTCCCAAAGGTATGATGCTGGAGGCCTGTTTGTTTGTGACTTGTTTGCTGGTTGAGATCACTTGTATGGTTGGAAGTGTAAGATGCTGGTGCCAGACCTGAGTTCAAATCTTGTCCTAACATGTGACAGCCATGTACCATGAGACAGATGAGGAGCTAGCAACTTTCCCCCAACTGTTCCTGAAAGAGGTTTGTTCATATAGATTGTGTTTGATAGCAACAAACTGGGAGGAAACTACCCCTAATGCAGGTGGTGGTGTATTTTTAGGGTTTTTTGTTGCTGAGGAGGGATGGTTTTAGGCAACCTGGATGCTTGGGGTTTTGGGAGTTTTCTAAGTGTCCAGCTGTTTCAGTTGGCTGAAATATGTTCTTTTTCCTATTTTGGAATATCCTTTCTCATTGGTGTACCCGATGAGATGTGGCCCTGAGTGGTGCTGAGTGCTTCAGGCAGTGCCTGAATAGTCTAATATGCTCTGTAGAGGTTTCAGTCTCTTTCAAAAACAGGACTTTGAATCCTGTTCCTGCTATGTGTTGCCTACCATGTTGCACTACATACTGCCTGTGAATGTTACATGTGCTAGAAAAAACTTGTTTCATTCCTGTAATGGATGTGTTAATATTGACTGTGAATTTGACAGTTCCTTAAAAACAAGCTTGGGATGGCTGTGCATCTTTCTGGATTTGAAATATCTTTGTACTCTGCAAATCCCATGGGAAGTATACGCTCTACAGACTTCTCATGCTGAATGCTTCAGGTTGATTAGATTTGTTGCTTCAGGATGGCTAATAGGTTGCTTGATGACAGCTCCTTTGAGCTTAAAATCATTAAGAAAGAAAATACTTCTTATAGCATCTTGTCTGGACCACCTACATTTCTGTGGCAAGTTACATGTGTGTGTTGGAACTCCTCTGTCCTCACAAATGTTAAATTAAAAGAGACTTGAATTTATTTATGGAGATCTGATGTTGAACAGATCCAAAACACTATTTAACCCATAAAAGCATTCATTGCAAGCATACTATTGAAGGCATAACTACATTCAATTCATGAGTGATGACGTATTGTACTTTGGTGAATTAAACTGAGAATTTTGCTCTGGAGCATTTATTCCCCAAGAATGCTGATAGCTGCCACATAGTTTGCTCCTGCCTAGTCAACTATGTTTTGATTACACTAAGACACAGACAGAGCAGTTTATTGGTCTGAAATATTTGTTTGGACCATTTTTTGGTCACAGTGTATGGTGAATGTATACTCTGCTTAATTCTGTTTTGCGGTCATGCAAGGACAAACATATTCATAAATTACATTTAGTTGTCTTTCTTACAAGCTAACAGTCAATGTTAACATATGAATGTGTGAGACTGCCTTCATTACAATTCCAATTTGTTTAAGATTTCCAGGGTGTTGGTAAGGTTTCTGAGTCATAGCAAACAATTTTTAAACAATCTTCAAACAATTTTTCCTTAAACAATACTGTTTTGATCATATTGTCAAATATGGTGGATAACAGCAATGAGGGCCTTATATGCTGGTGTTTCCCTCCAGACAAATTTCTCCACTATATGGCAACATTTTTATTTTCTTGAGGTCTTTATGAAAGGCACGTCTTCTCCACTTCATTTAGGCAGTATGAGCGAGTGGTGGAATAATATCTGCCAAAAGACAGAGATAGCAAAAATATGAATTCTCATAGAAACTATATGCAGTCAGAAGTAATTGCAGCAGCTTGTAAGACTCCAGGCCCCAAGCTATGAACTCACTGAAGGGTTTTTACTTTAAAAATATAAAAGGCTCTGACAATATTCACCCTCCAGATTGTTAGAAGAGTGTGGCAGTAAATCTGCAGTATATGAGAAAACTGTGGTTTAAACATGTTTCAAAATGGCTTTTTGTAGTCTCTTTGCTAACTCATGCTTTCTTCTTCCCAAGACCCCCCACGACAAGTGTTATCCCATGCAGGAATGTCCTGGGAAGATGTCCTAAGTTGTTCTCATTGGACCTTGTTAACCTCTTCCTGTGATTGGGTGTTCCTGTAAGCCCCTTGAGACTTCTAATTGGTTATTCTGTGAGTCCTTCTAACCCTATAAATGTAACCCCCCAACAATAAACTCTCTCTTGCCTCCTCTCCACACCAGTGTGCTGTCTCTGTGCCTGCCATGGGGCCACGTGGGTGGGGAGAAGGGAGAGCACCTCTCCCCTCCAGGCTCAGGACCTGAAGAAACCCCTGGTGCTGGAGTCTCCCCTCCCTATCCACATTAAGCCATCGGAAATGGTTCCTCAGATGGAAATGGAACTAGAACTGGGCCGCCCCACGCCATGGGGGGAAAGGGATCTAGAGAAGAGCCTTCAGTAGTTTTAACACCATAAAGAGAGTACAAAGGAGAAAAGCTGCATTTTTTCTCAGGAGGTACTTTTACTGGTAAGCTTTAGAAAATATGAGTACTTGGCAAAAGTTTAAAGGGTAATATTCAACCAAAATAAAGTATTCCACAAAGCACTGACTTAGCACATGCTAACCCATATAACTTAGTAAAATCCAACCCACCTGGTCTCAAGCTACCCAAAATATTAAGAAGGGAGATGAGGAGGAGGAGGAGAAGAAGAAGTAGAGAAAGAGAGAGAAAAAGAGAATTATAGCTACCAACCTTTGAACCAGCATAGGTCCAGCCACAGGAGTCCAGAAAATGGAGGGTTCAAACCAACCAATGGAGAGGACATGTTGCTGCTTTTATGTGCTATGGCGGGACTTCCACTGTGCCATTCAATCTGGGGCTGGGTTAGGGGCTCCAGAGCGTAGAATGGAGGTGTTCCCGGTGTCCTAGGTCTGAGAGCTGCTTTGGGGCTGCCCCAGTAGGCTCTCAGGGGCTTGGATATGGGGTAGGGCATTCCTCCATGAACTTTGACCTCTCTCTTTATCCCCATCCCCCCCACCCCGACTTGAGTTGATCTGAGCCAATAATTAATATAATTACCCAGTGTCTCAGTTTAAAAGTAAGTCATACCCTGAGCCTTTCCTTACTGTCCCTCAACTATTTAAATCAGCTAGGATTAAGCTGACCAAACAGTTCATGCCCTGTAACACACCCACTAGAGCACTGTTAAGGGGTGAAGGCACACCAGTTTTATAAACAATTTAATTTTTTGGTTTAAAGAACAGTTTGTTCCAGGAACATGATTTTCAAAATGCCCGGCCCCACTCTAAAAACACCTATGAAGTCTTCTTGGATTATAAATTCATGCTTTCTGTTGCCTCAGCTGCCTGAGTTTTGTTAGGGAGGAATAGCTTAGTCATTACTGCACATCTACAAACATCTCAAACTAGGTACTCTCCCTCCTCAGAGGTCTGACCTAGAAAGGACGCTCAGAGCACACTGTGCTTTGTGCAGAACAGAGCTCCCACTGCTTCTGGTAACAGCTGCTGGGAGGGTAATGCTGCCTCTTCCCTCACACTCTAATTCAAGACCCTGATGTCCAGAGCATAAGCAGCTGAGAAGATCTGGCTGTGGTTCTTGCCCTTGCCTGTGAGGATTCAAATCACAGCCCTTGCCTTCCAGCTATAGCTGAACTTCCAAGCTGATATATTATGAAGATAAATCAGCCTTGTGTTTGTCATTCTCCAAGAAGGTAAAGGAGGCAATCCTCAACAGCACAGAGACTTGACTTGCAATGAAAGCAAGAAGGTGCAGTGTTTATTCACCTGCAGCAGAAGCTTCATGTGGCATGGGACATGTGGTTAAGGGATTATGAGCAGCCTGTTGCATATGCTTTAGGGACTATCACTCCAGAGGTTCTAGCCGTGGTGATTCTACTGGATATGAAACAAGCACACAACATGATATCTTAGCTATAATGCACCTGCCTAGCTGGAAATTCTTCATGAGAACTTTCGGGGTCCTTGATATGATCCATTTGCCACCTTCTTAGTGACAACCATACCTGATACCTGTCATTAGGAGATAGTTTTCAAAAAATGCCAACCTTCGATTGTGTGATACTTTAGGTATGATATGTAAATTGCTCAGATAAAGGGCAGGTAGCCTTACCTGCAGTTATCTATGACTCTTGGCATTTATTTCCTGCAGTTAACTGTTGAACAACAGCTGTCCCACTTTAATGAGTTTTAAAAAAAGTACAGCAGCTCATTATTTCTCTTTTCTAACAGGCCCATTTTAGAAGCCTTCACTTAGCAGTTCTTGTGATTCATGCCAAATGGAACTCATTTCCATGACTATTAAGGATCATTTGCAGAGAGTTACACATAACACAGCACAGGTTTGCACTGAACCCTCTCTGAAAGCTCATTTTTCTGCTGGTTATAGTCTGTATCACAGCAGCACCATGCCCATCTGTGGGTCTCCCTGCATCTGTGTGAACAGAAGCATGGTATAAAACCAAAAAGGTTAAATGAAAAGATATACTGCCAATAGAAACCTTTTATATCTTTTGAACAGCTTTCTTCTTTTTAATGTGTTAACTCCAACTCAAAATTGCATAATGGTAGGAGCCTTTGTTTTACCTCTTCTAAGACATGCATGCATACCTTCCAGATGGAAAAGCCATTTCAGGTGCTTGAGAAGGATGAAATCTGAGTCTGCTCAGTAAGTTGGAGAGAATTTTGCTCTGAAATTTAAAAATGGCAGAATCTCATGTTTAGTTCTGCAAGTACACTATTAGCTATTTTTAAGGCAGGACAATGCATGTAAATGAAAGAAAAGCAATCAGGGTTTCTGGGCTTCCCTCTTAGGGTAGCAGAGGGCATTCAGCTAAGTGTAGATTCTTGCATAGGGCAGTTCTGCCATTGAGACTCTTATAACTGCTCCGAGACAGCTGCAGTGAACGCGGCAGAAAGGTTGCATCTAATTAATAGCAATGTGTGTTGGTTTAAAAGTAAACTGGCTGGAGAAATGAACCCATCTCAAGAGAGATTACAAGTCAGAGTTATAATTTACTAAAAATATTACCATAAATACAATGATACAGAGAAAAACTTATTTTAACCCGCAAAGACAGATGTATAACCCCACACCCTGGGAAAAGAATAGAACAGTGTTTGTCAACCCCTGTGCTGAGCACCACATGGCCCCCTTGGGTGCAAAGTAGAAGGAAAGGAAAACCTATTGGTCTAGATGATGGTCACAGTCCTGTTGGAGTAATGATCACAGTCTTGTCGAGAGTGGTAGTTGTAGTCCTGTTGGAGTTCTAGTCCTCCTCTGGATCCAACGAGTGGTGCCAAAACCCAAAATTTATTACGCTCAAATTCAGATGGGAATGCCCACTGTCTCCCCCAGCACGGGGAGTTTCACAAAGGGTGATTTAACTCTGTGAGTCATGGGATATTTTTGGAATCATTGATGCACTAGTTGGTTGCAGGTGCCTGTTATGCCAGTCCATGGTGGTCCATTAGGAGAGATGACCCCTCAGACTGGATGTGAAAGTGCTAATGCCTCCCTAGGGGGAGTTATCACAGCCGAGTCACTGGTGTGAAAACAGAAGAACACGCCCCTGCCTCACAGCATTTCTTTAACACCCAGCTTGTAGCCTGAGGTGCCAGGTGTGCCCTGGGCAGCTGCTGCAAATGATCCATTATTAACAGTCCATCACAACTGACATAGAGGGTGTAGAATACACAGTTTTGGTTATACCCACATAGTGATAAACTGGACCCGGTCCCTGTAACTAGGACACAATGTGTGAGGATTCATCGTTTTTGCAGCCCTCATTCTTTGGTTTGAGGCATGCACTGTGCAGACTTTAACTTCACCTAGAGGCAAATCAGTCTCCACATCTAAATGATAAGCAAAGCAAGTGTGATTGTCCCACTCTGCTCTTCACTGGGACGGCCTCCCCTTGAATATTGTGTGCAGTTGTGGGCACCACAATATGGGAAAGATATTAAGCTGTTAGAAAGTGTCCAAATGAGGGCAACAAAGATGGTGAAGGGCCTTGACGGGAAGCCATATGAGGAGCAGCTGAGGTCAACCTGGTGTGTTCAGCCTGGAGGAGACTGAGGGGAGACCTCATGGCAGTCTACAACTTCCTCATGAGGGGAAGAGGAGGGGCAGGCACTGATCTCTTCTCTGCGGTGACCAGTGACAGGACCTGAGGGAATGGCCTGAAGTTGTGTCAGGGGAGGTTTAGGTTGAATATTAGAAAAAGATTCTTTACCTACGGGGTGATTGGACACTGCAGCAGGCTCCCTAGGGAAGTGGTCACAGCACCAAGCCTGACATAGTTCAGGAAGCATTTGGATGACACTCCGAGGGACATGGTGTGACTCTTGGGGATAGTCCTGTGCAGGGCTAAGAGTTGGACTCAGTGATCCTTATGGGTCCCTTCCAACTCAGCATATTCTGTGATTCTGTCATTCTGTGAACACAGACAGCCATAACAAGGTCATTAATGTCATTAAAGGGGTTTACAAATTGAGGCTGAACTTTCTGAAATTACTTAATGAAACAAATTCACTCCAGTTCCTCTTAAATCTTTCAGACTGTCTCAGTCAAGACACTGAGGGGTGTGAATAAGCAGGGATTAGTTTGGTCACTGCTGGGGTAAAGGAAGGGGTAGTGCGTTCTGACCTTGCACATGTGAATTAAAGGGACTTTTAATCCTACAAAGAAGAAGAATGCTCTAGATAACCTCTCGAGTTGCCTTCCAGGCTTACTATGATGTTATCCCCTGTAGCACCACGATTGCACAGGCCACAGATTCATAGATGCAAATGACATATGGTGTTATCTTGGCCAACAAAAGTTTTTTCCCATTTTGTGTTTTTCTTGTATTTTGTTCATCTTTTGGATTGTTCCTTCAGGCCTCCTGCTTATTGTAATAGATCTCACTAATGCCAGCTTTTCATTACGCTTTCTCCCATAGACGAATTTTTTGCCCAGAGCAAAAGCCTGGAAAAGTCTAGGGACTGAAAAGATCTAAAATTAAATACCTGCAGAGAAACTGCTTTTGCTCTTTCCCAGAGAAATGAAATACAAATATATCTTTTGCCAGAAACAAAGGAACCTGTCCCACAGAGAAATGACAGTATGACAGTGCTCTGTCCCTCTCCAGGGGGATATGAGAGGACTGGATGCAGCTCCAGACTTTGAGAGACCCTGGTATGAAAAACAAAGTTACTATGCCTTGCTCTCTGCTCCCTCATTGGGCACTGAAGGGAACGTGTGAGCCAAGTGACCATTACCCTCACCCTCACGACATCAAGCTGCCTTTTTGAAGCTCAGGTTCATTTAGATCTCTCCTTTCTTTACGTTTCTGATTCAGATCCCAAGCTTTCCCATGGCATGGATTTCTTTATTACAGCGATGTGTACCCAGGTTGGTGGACTGCACAAGCTGCTCTTCTGCATGGCAAATAACCGTGCTGTGAGAATCATTCATTTTCCACAGAAAGTTTCTGCCATAAAAGCCAGTTTTCAGCAGCTTGGCAGGAGAAGGAAAAGTTTGGCACAAGGTTGAGACTGGCCTGTTTTTTTGTTTGACTTGAGAACTACCTCTCAGAATACCTGCATTTTTTTAACGGGAAATACCTGAGAAGCCAAAAGAAAGCATCCCTCCACTCTCTCCTGGAGCCCTGGAACCATGGCTGAAAAGCATCAATGTACATGGTCATGGCCACTGGAGTCACCTGCTGCCATCTCAGCACCTGCAAGGAGGATGCTGGGGTGGGCTGTGTAACATGGCAGCATCTGCACACAATGCTTCAGCTCTGCTGCATGGTCACAGAA